TCTGGCTGGTGAATGCCTTAATTTTTTGGTTGGTGTACTTTTATGGTTGGTGAAGATTACGTGTTTTTGGATGCCTATAAAAGGCCACTCCTCCTTCACATTTGAAACACACACAATACAGCATCAGAATATCACATACCACAATCACCACCTCAATATGATTCTCTCCTTTTCTACTTTTTTATATTTTCTCTACTTATATTATTAGTTTTGGCAATGGTTATGTGACTTGGATACCTATATCCGTCTATGAACGTGCTCATAGCGGATCTTGAGTTTGTGTACAAGGGGTCGTATCTTGGAGTCTTGTAGACTGTCAGTACCTGCACGTAGGGAGGCTACAAAGGCTTTAGGACAGTGTCTTTGACGTGCTTCACCGTACCAAACTCACCTTCTTACTTATTATTTATTTTCCTTTTACTTACCTATTATTTTGTTTTCTTCAATTTCATTATACCTTAAAAGCTTTCCTATTTATTTATATGTTATTTATAATATAATGTTTTTGTGTTTGGCTTTACGGAAAAGGAAAACTGTATTTTGTATATTTTTTATAACACATAACCAAGAAGCAAATAAAATTCATTGGATTAGCTGGAAGGAATTGGGGCTGCCAAAGAAGGAAGGAGGGATGGGCTTTAGGAGCCTAAGAGACTTCAATACTACCTTATTAGCCAAGCAATGCTGGAGATTGATGATGGAGCCAGATGCTTTTTGGGCTCAATTAATTAAGAGTCGATACTTTCTGAACAATGGCTTTCTAGAAGCAAAAAAAGGGGCTAGGTCCTCATGGGATTGGTCGAGCTTACTGGCAGGCTGGGATGTCATTCTCAACGGTGCACGGTGGCAAGTTTTGGATGGAAGTCGGATTAAATTGTGGATTGACAAGTGGATTCCTTGCTCCCATGATCGCCTTTTAATGCCAAACTAGGTGTGGAGGTAAATGGGGAGGAAAAGGTTGAAACAATTATAAACCCTTCAACCTGTGTCTGGAATGTGAATGCTATTGATAGACAAGTCAATGTCAGGGATGCTTGTTTGATTAAAGCTCTGCCTTTTGGAGACGGGACTAAGGTTGACAGAATGGTGTGGCCTTTCAATAGAGATGGAAGATTTACTGTAAAATCTGGGTATAATTTAATCATCAATGCTTCTCTTAGAATTCAAGGATGGTGCCAAAATTAAAAAATTTCTTGTGGAGAATTTGCAAGGGTTGTTTATTGACTTGTCAGGCTTTGCATAAGAGACACCTTGGTCCCTCGCCTATTTGCCCTTTATGTGGAGAGTTTCCTGAATCTAAAGAGCATTTCTTTATATTATGCAACTGGGTTCAAGGAGTTTGGTTTGGAGGCCCTTTATGTTATAAAATAAATAGACAAAGTATTACAACAATTGGTGAGTGGCTAAAGAGGACCTTGCAGCTCCCTCAAAGCTATGCTCACGATCGATCTTGGCTCATGGCTCAAATTGCATATACTTGTTGGAGCATTTGGAAAAGTCGATGCGCTGCTGTCTTTGAGGGTGTTCAAGTGTGCTCGTAGAAGACTTTGTGTGCTGCCAAGTCTATGGTCAACGAATTCATGCGAGTGCAAACTGAGTCTGTGATGAATATGAATGATAATGCTGTTGAGGTTGGGGCGGCAGAGGCAAGATGGTCTGCCCCTCCCCATGCATATCGTAAAGTAAATGTTGATGCTTCTTGGGAGGGAGGTTCGAAGCTAGCAGGTTTGGGTGTGGTGGTTCGGGACTCGAATGCTGTGTGTTTGGGCGGCAGCTGTAAAACCAGATTGGTAGCGTCAGCAATTGAGGTGGAGGCGCACACAGTGTTGAGTGAAGTATATTTAGCTGCTCAAATGGGGATATCACATGTGGTTTTTGAATCTGATTCAAAGGAGTTGGTCCAGTCTGTCAAAGGCCATATTCAAAGGAGTAGATGGACTATTTTCCCCATTCTAACGGCAATTCCAAGAGCCTGTAGTGGTTTCAGTTCGTACTCTTGGAATTGGGTGCACCGTGGTGCAAACAAAGCAGCAGATGCTGCACCTTCTCGAGCTAGAAGGAGCATGTGTGATGAGGTTTGGGAATCCAGCCTCCCATCCTCTTTGGTCTTTGTGTTGCAAGCTGATGGGCTCCCAGGTACCCCTATGATGTGAGTCATGGCTGTTAGAGGCGGACACGCTCCCTATTGGGAGGTGTCATAGGTTTGGTCTCTAACAAAATTTGCTTTTGTTTTGCTGTAGCTTATTTTTCATCTCTTTCTACTGTGGCTGCTTTAGTTTCGCCGTAGCTTGCTTTTCTCCTTTCTTTTCGCTGGCTGTTGGTAGCTGTGTTGTTCTCTGTTTGTGGCTGTGGGTAGCCTAGCCCTTTGCTTGTACTTCTCTTTCGTTTGGAATGAAAGTACTCTTGACAAAAAAAAAAAAAAACTAAAAAACACTCAAATACAAGCCAAGTGCTGACCGACTAACTGCTTCTTTCGGCCTTAATAGGAGTTTAAAAAGATTTGGCTACCCATTTGAAGCCTAACTCTTGATGGCTTTTGGTATGCAATTCAATTAGGGAATTCAAAAACATTAATTTTTCTTAAAAATAAGGAGTTCTAAATAAATAGATTTTTTCTATTTAAGATTTACCATGACTTCAATAGGTACCTGTCGATGCAATCATTCCAAGGATTATCCCTCTCATTTCCCAGATCTAAAAGTGCCTTCTTTCACTAATTGATGTGTAATTTTCAAACTCTTGAATGAAATTAAATGAGGAGACATTTTTGCTTGAGAGAAGTCAAACATACAAATTGTTTCTTTTTGTTAATAGTTATTTACAGCTATTTGGTTAATTTCAAATATAGAAAAACAGGACTAAGAAATTATGTGTTTCTTATTAGTCGTTAAATCAGTATAAAAACCAAGCGCCGGAGGATTTGGATCCATGTAGCAATTGGTTCAGGGAGAATTTCAGTAGCAGATAAGTTTTATTCATGCTTAAAGAATTAAGGCCAAAAGTCACTTTTGGTCCTTCTAGTGTGGCACTTCAACCACTTTTGACCATGTAGTTTCAATTCCGTCAATTTTGGTATTGTAGTTTCATATTTGTAGCAATTCAAGAACATGTTAGTATTCTTGTCAATTTCTTTAACGATGCAAGGGGCAATTTCTTCAATCCAAAACCCTTGAGTGTAAAAGCTTGTTTGAAATTCTCCCTATTTCATATTAGGGCTAGAAATTCAACCACTAATCCCAATTTTTGAAGAACCCTAAACCCAAATGACCAATTTCAAGCCCTAATATGAAATTAGGGGAGTTTCAGACGAGCTTTTATGCTCAAGGATTTTGGGTTGACAAAATTGCCCCTTGCACCGTCAAAGAAATTGACAAGAATACTAACTTGTCCTTGAATTTCTACAAATACGAAACTACAAGGTCAAAATTGACGGAATTGAAACTACAGGGTCAAAAGTGGTTGAAGTGCCAAACTACAAGGACCAAAAGTGACTTTTAGCCAAGAATTAATAACCAACAGTCTTCTTATGGCCCCCACTATAGTATAGTAAAAGAGCCTTATTATGATTGAAAGAAACATAAGTGTTTGGTATTCTATTTGAATTCAACTTTAAAATTTAAAAACAAAATTTGAGTCCAAAACTCAAAAAATTTATTTGGTATAGACCGATTTTGAAAACCTAAACTAAAAAACACTCAAATACTTGAAATAGAAAATATCTATTTATATAGAACTCCTTATTTTTAAGAAAAATTAAAATTTTCGAATTTCCTAATTGAATTGCATACCAAAAGCCACCTAAATTTTCTGACTAATTTGTATGACTTAGCCTTATCAGATTTACCATGACTTCAATGGGTAACTGTCGATGCAATCACTCCAGGGATTATCCCTCTCATTTCCCAAATCTAAAAGTGCCTTCCAAACAAGGCTACCAACCTTAAACCCAGTCCCAAAACCTAACATCCACACCCTATCTCCTTTCTTAACTCTCCCTTTAGCTTCAAGATATGCCAACTCATAAAACACAAGACTACTCGAAGTGTTCCCGAATCGGTGCAAAGTCATCCGAGCGGGCTCAGTGAACTCTTTCCCCAATCTCAAAACCCGACCAACTTGCTCGATCACCGCTTTCCCTCCCGTGTGAATACAAAAATGATCAAAAGCCTTGGTGAAATCCGGGACGATTGGTTTCGACGCACCCCTCGTCATTGTAGAACGAATTACCGAGTAGACATACAGACCGAGTTGACTCAGTGGTAGAACTCGGGGACCCAGAATCTTGATGTGTTCACGTAAAAACATGCCTGCGACTGGAATCAAATCTTTAGTTAGTGAAAACCCAGTACATCCCTTGTCATCCTCCTCTTGAAATGCAGCTTTATAAGCTCGGTCATTCGCTCCGTGGTGAGTTCGAAGCGAGTGAACGAGTTCCATCTTGGCAACTCTGCGACAACTCGGATCGTTTGTGATCATTGCGGCCACACAACCGACGCGAAAAATACAATTTGTTACAAGCATGGGACGGCTATCACCATAGTACCAATTCAAGCTAATAGTTTCGATTATGACCACAAGAGCATAACCAATTTTTTTACTGTGCTTTAGTACGTTGGCAGCTAAATCGATTGATATTACTCCCGAACTACACCCCATGCCACTTAAATTGTAGGTTTTTAAGTCGGATTTGAGCTTGAAATGGTTGACAATGAGGGATGTGAGGGAGGGCATGGGGGAGAAGCTGCCACATGTTACAATAAGGCAATCGATAAGACTTGGGTCGATGTTGGTTTTTGAGAGGAGTGAGTTGATCGACGAGAACATGCCTTCTTGAGCTTCATCAATGGCTGATTTGAGGTCGGCTTTCGGGTTGGGTTGGAAGACGAATTTTGGTGCATATGTTTCGTCCCCTAGGCCTGATTTGAGGTAGATTTTACGCATGAATTCTTGGCTTTCCTCGCTGAAGCGATTCGTCCTGAATACAAAGTGCTCAGAGGCTTTGTAGCTGCATTTTTGGTTAGGGTTTGGTTTGAAGCACGAGAAGTCCAGGAGAAAAACTGGGTTGGGACTAGAGATGTAGTAGTAAAAGATGGAAAGGAAAAGGCACCAAATGCAAGACAAGAGAAAGGTGGGGTGAGTGTAGATGATGCGAAGGAGGGGATTAATTAAGGACTCAATTAGGACCCCGTTCCGGATTAGACTGGATGGAACTGGACTAGACGTTCTTTCAACGAACAGGAGGGTTAGGGTTAGTAAAAGTGTTCCAAAAAAGGCTAGGAGGAATTTGAAATTTGAAATGGATTTCATGTTCGGTTTTGCAGAGTTGGGTTTGCTTTTGTTTTTGCAAACTCGGTGAATGAAGATTGTGGTGAAGAGGATGGAGAGATATATAAAGTAATGTGAAAGGTGATTGGCATATACAGCTAGCTTTTCATGTGTATTCAGAGATTTATACAGTTTAGTTTATGCCGACTGACATAAGAAGAAGAAACAGTTGGGGAACTACGGAATTTATTGTGTCGTTTTGGGATAATACGCGGAGAAATACCTTAGAATATGGGCATGGCTCCTTCCTTGCCAGTTGCAATTTGTAGTCCTGTATTGTTGGGTAGTAAAATATTTAAATCTCTGAAACCAACCCGCTACCTTAAGGCCTGTGGGATTTCAATTTTCACAGGGTACTTGTGATGATGTTTGGGAATTCTGGTGTTACTTTTTCATAAAAGCAAAGTGTGATTTTTTTTTTGAGAGATAAAAGCAAAGTGTGATAGAATATGATACTTGTGTTTCCAAGACTGCAAAGTAATTAATTTTTTTTCTATTCCCTTTATCATACCCTTTTATCATTTAATGAAGTTTCAAAAAAAATACTAGTCATTATATCATTTTGATGAGGTGTTCACACCTTGAAGTCACTGAAGGACCTACATTGAGCCTAGTATGAAGTGTTCACACCTTGAAGTCACTGAATGACCTACATAGAGCCTAGTGTGGGCTCCTGCCTACATTTAGTTTGTCCCCTATATTCAAAATATCAAGGCCCCTCTAGCAAGGTATGGTGCAATTGTCAAACTTCCATCTCCAGCTGGCGACCTACCTAGTGCCTCAATAACAGAGATTCGAAACCCGTTGGAAGCACTTTGTAGTCAAGGACAAACGGAACCTCGAACGGGGATTAATCACACTCTTCTTGTGTGAAGACATCTTGTGGTATTTATTCAAAAAAAATTATCAAGGCCCCAAAGTTGACAAAATATCAAGGCGTACAAGAAATAATTTAGTTTGTCCTCCCACATGCATTTTGTGTTCATAAAATAAATAGTTTTATAAATATATAATATTGTTACATAAATAAATATTATAATATTATTATATAATATTTATGCCCACGATGCTGCGTCTGCCACTGCTTGAAGTTATTGCATCTTCAACCAATGCTGTCTGGGAACAACGCATGCAATAGTTTAATTATTCTGGCCTTTGACATTTCACTCTGATCTGGTCAACAGATTTCCCATGTCATGCCGGAAATACGACCATGCTCAAATAGTTCTCTGGGTCTCAGAAGAGCATAGAAGACATATCCTTTGTATGGTCTCATTATGGAGAGTGCAAGCATTGAAGACATATCCTTTGTATGGTCTCAAATCAATCCAATCCAATCCAAACAGTTCGGTTTCGTTTTCATACATAAAATCAGAAAATTCGTTCAAAATTGAACCAAGACAAATAGATTATTATTTAACAATTCTTACAATTTTTTTAGTACAAGCGATTAGGAGAGGGGGTTTTACACAAATATTCATTAGTTCTAGATTTTGAACCTCTACTCCACGTAAGTAGAGGCACGGCCAACCCTGAGATTTCTTAAGCCTAGGGCGACGTTGAAAATAGACCATTTGTGTATATAGCACAATGCTGAGATTCGAACCTAGGATTAATGTGGATTAAAAACAGCACCCGCCACTGCTACTGGAGAGAACTTAGGCTACAATTTGCCGCCCTTACATATATAACCCTTTACAAAACTCTGATCACATTAAAAAAAAAAATTAAAATTAAAATTGGGCCCTCCCTTGAGCCGGGGTTTAGGGCGGTCGCACCTCTTACCTTGGCTCAAGGTCGAGCCTTAGTGGAAGTGGAAAAGCTCAACCAACTGAGCTATACCTCATTGGCCAATTCTTACATATTTTAATTGGTTTGGTTCAGTATGATTTTAGTTTTGATTTTCATTAAAAAAAATTGATTCAATTCGGATTGTGCCCATCCAACCAATTATGGACTGAGTCACAGGTTTGGGCCAATTGATTTTGGATCCCGTTCCCTGTTAAAGCCGGTAGTCGATTTGCATTCAGGAAGACTTGATCGGTGTTGCAAGCCCAGAAGGGTCTGGTATAAGTTTGTTTTGGACTTTGTCCCCTGCAGTACTCCAGACGAAAGAGATAATTATATGGAGTGATGCATAGAATTCCCAAAAACATGAAAGCCAGCACAAATTAGACTTTTGTTAAATAAAAGAAAGCACCATTATTTGATGTTTACTTACAAGGATAGGAACAAGAATGATGGAATCCAACCACAGACCAAAAGCAGAAATATTCTAGAATAATAAAGCAAACGTTGACTCTCAAGGCTTATCACATGCCATATGCTTAACAGAACATCATAAGTCTCTTTCTTGTTACGTATTAAGCCATCCTCATCACCAAGAGAGAATCCTACTGCAAATTATTCTTTCAATCATCGACCAATTTTTCTTTCTAAATTCGAATATTAAAATTTTCACTTTCCAAAGTGAGAGAAGTTTCAAGTTTTTTCTTCTTCTTTTTTTCTTTTTTTTTTTGTCAAAAATGTTTCAAGTTGGTGATTTGAACTGGAAAAAAGTTTTAAAGTTTACATCACCGTCTCCGTTAATTAGTTTAAATATTTCATTCTCATACTCTATTATCATGATTGTTTTTTACAGCGCGATATTTGACAGCGCTCTAATCTATGAGAAGAATGATTCGAATTTCGATGAAAAAAGAAGGGGTACGTAACATAGTCCAACTAACGAGAGAGACTTTCATGCAATGGGGATAACACTTTTTGCTATCTCCAGCCAATAATTAAATGACAAGCAGTATCATTTTTACACGTATCATTGTATTATTGATTTAAAATAATAAAACAGTATTATCCCGTGAGAGTTTTTCTCCTTTGAAGAACATATATATATATAACCGACAACAGCACACTATTTAATCATATGATTGGGTGGCTAAATTTTTTCTTGTCTGACGGTAGCCGATTAAAGAACAAAAGAAACAGACGGTGCCTCAAGCAATTGGCCCATCTGGTTCAACATGGACCGCCAAGAAACGATAATGAATACTTGCACAAACAAAAACAAATATTGTAACCTATTCAAGTCCCATGCATAACAGAAGACAAGCTCCAACTTTCCCAGAACCAAACCAACTACATTTGTGACTAATAAAAGCCCCCGAATCAAAAAGAAAAAAAACAAGAACCAATAAACAAATGTCAATAATCTTATGTTTCCTTAAATAATGTTATCATCTCGACGTTGCATATGACAAGAACAAGGATTTTTTTAGCTAATGGATATTATAAACTACACATGTGATGTGAGATAGTTTACTCTCTTTTAAATGTCACTCCGATCTGAAATCTTTGAACTCTTCTAAGTTCAATGCTTACAAATTTCAGGAAGCTCTTGGCGAGCTATCAAAACATAACCGAGCATGCATAAGGCAACCATATTTTCTCCACTCTAAGGACTAATTATGTCATTGAAACATGGAGCTTTTTGTTTTGTTTGGCCTAGATCTGCGTGCACATGCTAGACTTCATATTGTCTCATAAATATGCCTAGTTGGTAACCCTCTTCATTAGGGAGATATACTAAATAGTGAGGAAGATCATACCTAGTGTTGCTTGTTCTCAAATTAGTATTATAGATATTTTACGGATTATGAAATTTACACGGTTAGCAGTACATAGTTAAATCGGCATGCATAAAATTGTTGCGCAGCGGTGAAATTAGTGTTGTTTTCGGTTCGGTTACCGCACCGATCATGTTGAACCGGTTACCGTCCGACATTCATATTGTCTCATAAATATGCCTAGTTGGTAACCCTCTTCATTAGGGAGATATACTAAATAGTGAGGAAGATCATACCTATTGTTGCTTGTTCTCAAATTAGTATTATAGATATTTTACGGATTATGAAATTTACACGGTTAGCAGTACGTAGTTAAATTGGCATAAAATTGTTGCGCAGTGGTGAAATTACAAGATTCATGCCCACCATCGATCAAATAATCAGTGTTCTTTTCGAATTGTCCTTCACTAGTACGTAGCATCAAGAACCTTAGAATGACATGATGTACATGGGAGCCTCAGTGTGTGTCGATGGTGTCGATACGAGTATTAAAAGAAGGGTAATTTCGACATTTCATTCTAGTTCAACACTATATTTATAACTAGGCTACCACAACGTAAGTGATTTGCATCCCTTCTATTTGGAGAGATCATGTGTATGCAAAAGGATGGTGAGAGCATACACCTTGAATTAAAGTGGTGAACAAAAATATTTCATTTTCAATATTCAATTTTGGGACTACCAATTTCGGTGACACTATTATAAAGGAACACGTGTCAATATATTCCTCTAAATTTCAAACAACCACGTGAATTAGTTTTGACTTTATATGCATATATAGAAAATAGAACCATATTCTCTAATTTAGAGGTTGATATTCCAACGGTCAAATATGTCTTGGGATTCTGGTTTATCTTGAATCGAACATTGTTTAGAAGGAAGAACCAAAAAACAAGATAATTATATGCAAAATCATAGGATATATATATATAACTCATACAAATGTGTTTCAAGAAAGAAAAGTAATCACTTCATACTATGTTTTCTATGGACATGGGTATAAAACAAAGAATATTGCACCACCCTGGCCTAATTTGCTGAACATTGAATTTAAATATTTTATGATGCACACATTATCCACCGAATTCAAAGTTAATGTTGCATTAACAACTGTTTCATCCATCCATGAGATCCTGTTTTAAAGGTGAACAGTATACATATGTACATGGGGCCGAAATTGTGTGCATCAAAGACAACTGTCCCCTATCCGATAAGTTATTTTTTTCTACAATATTCCCCTAATTTTTTTATTTTCTTGGTCAAATATTTCCCAAAATTTCACCAAGGTGTTTTTAATAAGAGCCCTCTTGTTAGCTATTTAGTTACCCAATAAATGATATAAAATATCAAATTTATCTAACTTGAATACATTATATAGAAATGTATTTAGCGACAGCTGATTTTATCCTTAATGTAATTCGACTAGATTTGGGGAA